TAAAAATTAAATTTTTTCCAGTATACTTTTAATAGAAATCCCTGACTTTTTCCTCATTTCCCTGAGCAAATCTAATTTTCCTGAATTCCCTGACCTGTGGCAACCCCCAGAATAATAGAAATTCGGATAAAATATAGTATCTTTGTAATTTACACTTCGGATAATGATGTTCAGATGATGTATGTTCCACTAATCGAGGTTTTACTGTTCGGAATAGTATCGAATTGCAATGAAATGATACCAAGGTTTAAAGTTAAACATATTTGATCCAAATTCTTTATCTTTGATTTAATGATGATTTTTGATCCAAAACAGTTTGATGCAATTTGATACCAATTTGAAAAATTCAAGAAAATAGGGAGTTCTTTACTGAAGTAGAAGAAAAAGATGAAGAAGAAGAAGGAGAAGAAGATGATGATGATGAAGAAGAAGAACTGATTGGTTCCTAAACAAAATATTTATCACCAAATTGTACAGATGACAAAAATTTCAAAAAATTTTGTTGAGAATATATACAACATACAGAGAAATAGGAAGAAAGAAGATCAAAGGAAGTGGATCACCGGGGCGTGTCGTCGCACCTAGATGTGTATAGATGAAAGACGTAAGTGTACTTGACTTGTTGATCTCTACTTCATCTCATACTAGCCTCTGGTTTATATTGAGTGCTTTAAATCAAGTCTTGTTCACAAGATTAAATGGGTATGTGTGCGCCAATATACAGCCATAATACGGCCTTGCAAGGTCATTCCTGGCATCTTTTAAAGACACCACACATATACAACTACATATACTCTGATCTTACATAACTCTGCATAACTTTTGATCACTGATATCATCTAATTGAAGATATTTTCAAAGGATGCAAAAACATTTATAAATAGCAAAAACTTTTCTTTACCAATTCAATCTAATTAACCAAATTATCACTTTTATGTCGAATGTGCATTAAGAATAATGTCGCATTTAATTTTGCGTGTGCAAAGATTCTTCTTCTTTTTAATACCTAATATAAAACCAAATTAAATATGTTATTTATTATTCTTAAAATTTATCTGATTTTATCTGATCACATCTAAAGACATTTCTTGATTAAACTTTATGTACCTTTAGGTAAAATTATTAACAATTTTATCGTTTTTATAAACCGACGCGACGACTTCTTATAAAGAGGTAGTTTTAGAATTCGATTTTAAACTACTCCTGGTTGTTAAATTGCAATTACTTTATTTAATATTCATTTAGTATAAAATAATAACTAACTCAGTATCTATTGCTTGTTTTACGAATTCCGAAAGATGTTTTATTTCAATCGGAAATAATTCAGATTTTTGCTTGTCTTAATAAATATTCATACTCTATCAAAATGATAGTAGGATTAGTAAATAAAAGTTTATAAGTAGAAAAAATGCCGAGGACTAGATAAAAAGGGTGTTAAACTTTCAGAAACAAATTGTCATTTGTATTCAAATGGCTAATTAGAAATTATAATATTCCGTCATTTATAGCAGTTCAGAGTTAATATAGAATTGTGAATAAAATCAAATGACTAATTGTAATGAAATAAAACACTTCTTATCATTGGTAAATCTTTGAATTTTTACCTAAAAAGAATAAATTTTAAAAAAGTAACAAGTATTCAGTATAATTTCGTACATAAGGTGTTTTAAAAACTCCATTTCAAATAAAATATAATACGACAATAAGGAAAATATAAAATATCAAAAACTATAAGAGAAGTTTAAATTAAATACTTGCTATATTTTATTTATTTTAAAAGGAACAAAAATTTTCAAATTAAAAAATTCTAAATCATATTTTTCCACTATGCACATAAAAATACTTTCTCATTCGATTACTTTCATTTAAACTAAATTTAGATTAATTCATATCGAATTATTTATTAAACTTGCACATCTCTGATGTGCTGATTTGTAAACTTATATTTTTAAACTTTCTACAAGCGTTCTAGAATTCTTCTACTTTCATAATATCGCCTGCTTATAATAGTCTTAATGAAATTATAGATTCTTAATGTAACAATAATCTCATAAAAATGATAATAACGTTAACAATAATTAACAATACGGTTAAAAATAATTAACAATAAGGTTAATAGTGATTAACAATACGGTCAAAAATAATTAACAATAAGATCAACAATAATTATAACAATACTGTGACAAACAATTAAGAACCAGGTTAATAATAATTAACAATAATGTTAATAGTAATCAATAATAAGGTTAATAATAACAATAGTTAATAACTATAATCAAAAGGTTAATAATAATTAATAAAAAGTTTAAGAATAATTAATAACAAGGTTAATAAATAATTCGTAAATTATCAATAAAATTATTAGAATTACATCTTAAATGAAAATTATAATGATGAATTTTACAAAATAAAGTACAGAGGACAATCGTTACTAATTAAAATTTTCTAATTAATATTATTTACTGCACAATATTTCCCAATTATAAAAAGTGTTAAATCATCACAAGTATATATATGTATATGTTGTTGATGATGACTACAATTAACGACATTATTTATGAATCAAATTTATAAGATAAATTGCTTATATTGTTTCACGGTTCATCGTATATAATTTAATTTTTAATTTAACTCTCTACGCACTCTTCAAAGGGCTGTAAAAACTGTCCAGAGTCTAACTGCATTTTATTTCCTGATTATATTTTATTCCATGATCTATAGACTATTATAGGCCTTATTACTTACACCTGACATAAATATTATAATGAAAGTGCCTGATACTCAACGTATATAATATATATTATAATAAATCTATCTAATATTCGATAAATAATAAATTTCCACAAAATGTTTTCATTTAGTAAACAATATGTAATAATAACTATTTTTTAAAATCTAATAATAATAAAAATATTTTTTCTTATTGTAAGCCCGTATATTTTTTAAAAAAATAATTAAAATAACTACCAATAATTCGTGCGCTAAAGCGAGCGGCTAATTTCTTACTGCCTTTTTTAAATAAAATTAGCAATTTTAATTTAATTTCTATTATTTTAAAATTAATAGAATTTAAAAATTTTCTAATTTAAATTTTTGTTGAAAACACTAAAAAAACGCAATTTTTGAAAAATTACAAATAATTGCAGAAATTCAATTATTTAAAAAAAAAATAAAATTCTTATAAAATTCAACTATGTTCAAAATTTGAAAAAAATTTTCGTAAAAATCCCAATTATCTTTATAAATAACAAAATTCTTGTCCTAATTTCAATTATTTTCAAAAATAAAATGCATTTTTCTAATTTCAATTATTTTCAATATCATCTATTTTAATAAAATTTCCCAAAAAGAATTCAATTATTTAAAAAAAATTTAATAAAATTGTATACATACAAACATTTAATTATTTTCATAAATAATAAAATTTTTTTAAGGAATTCAATTATTATTTTCATAAAAAATAATTTAAAATTCTAGAAAATAATAACTGAATTAAAATGATGAAAATAATTTTGATGAAGTTACAGTAACAATATTCTTATAATATAATATTAATGATTTTATTACTTGGTCATCTTTAATTATTATAAAACATGAAGAAATCGATCACTCCGAGTCAAAGACTCGGAGCAATCGATATCTTCATGTTTTATAACAATTTTTTATAATTTGTTTAATTTCAAAAAGGTTTGAATTTGAAATTTTTGAATGTCTTAATTCCTGTGGAAAATCCTGTTTCAAAAATAAGATTAAAAATAGGAATTGTGCAAATATTTTTCTTCTTTTTCTAAAACAAAATAATAATTTTTTTAAACAAATTGTGATTTATAAAGAAAAATAATGCAAAATAAATAAATTTTCTATTTCTTGATCACAGTTGTTTAACAATTTTCTAATTTTGTTTAGAAGTAAAGAACAAAAATCTGCATAATTTCAATTTGACAAAACATAATATTTAACAAAATTTTAGTCTTTTAATAAAAAGAAGTGAAAAAAATTCTGATGATTTCTATTTGTCATTACAATTTTCAAATAATTATAAAAAAAATTAATTATAACATAATAATAATATTATATTTAATCTATGTAAAGTTAACAAAAAACAAAAGTATAAACAAAAGATTACTTGACTATTATTAATTAAATATTTACTTGAATCAAATAAATTTTTCTTTATTTCTTTCAGTGTAATAATATAAGATATACCTATGTAAATTAATTTAATAATAAAATATTATTGCAAATAATAGTAATAACTATTGTTAATAACAATTACAATACGTAATAGTAATAAAAAATATTTCCATTATCCTGATTGCTATTATTTTTATAATTATTAGTATTATTCTTATTGTAATTATTAAATTAACAAAAAGATGCTCCAAAAAATTCGGAATGTTCAAATTAAAAAAAATTTTTTCAAATATATAAAAAATATTTTTAAAAATTATTGAAAATCAAAAACGTAAATTAAACAATTTAAAACTTTATAAATTATTTTTGAATAATTTTATTATTATAATAGAATTTTTTTGAATTCAAAAAAAGAAATAAAATTTCGTTCACTTTGAACATTCGAAATTTTTGGGACATTCAAAAAAAGGAAAAAAAAGGAGCCAATAGTGTTGAAAATATTTGACCAATTTTTAGTCAATTGCTATAGTCAACAATTAATTATCTTTTGTTAATTTACTTAAATTAATAAAAATTTTATTTAATAATTTTATTTTATCAATATAACTAAGTTAATAAAAAATTAATTTATTCATTTAATTAAATGAACTTAATAATTAATTAATTTTATTAATTTAATTGAATTAAAGAAAATTAATTTATTCATTTTATTAAATTAATAAAAATTCCATTTCTTAATTTTATTCTGCTATTATTAATGTTCACCAACAATTAAAAACACTTGTTTTTATAATTTCCAGTAATAATCTTCGCACATTGTACGATTTTGTATTCATGATAAATTATATTGGATAATATCAACTAACCTGTTGAATTGTATTGTGGTTCATCAAATTTGTATCTTCATCTCAAATCTTGAACACCATCACTTAATAAAATGCGTTGCACATAAATTTTGTCAATTATTTCCCCCAATTTTTAAAAGTTTATATCAAGAAATTATCTTTATCAATATATTGAAATATTTAATTAACAAGTAATAATCAATTATTGTTAAATATTGCTTTGTAAAATTACTGATTGAGAAAATTATTAATAATAACAACTGATCAGTAAAATCATTATTAGTATTCGATCTAAAAAATTATTAAAAATAATTTATCAAAATAATTATTAATAACTGATCAACAAAATTAGTTATTACTGATCAACAAAAGGCAATAATAATAATTGAATAAATTAAACAAAATCATTAATAATTTATATTTTATTTTAATTAATTTACTTTTCTTTAAATTATTTTATTTTTACTTTAAATTATTAATACTTAAATTGATAAAGATCAACAATCAGTAAAATGAGTAGCAATTTAAAATGAATTTAACAATAATAAACATATTATTAGTTAATAAATTCGCCTTCAATTTAATGCAATTTCAAATTAATAAATGATAATAATTGCTGATAAAATTGCTTTATTAGAAAGTTGTCACAATTCTTGCAAAGAGCTTATTGTATATATCTCTTTACTTCGTCCTTTTGCGGTTCGGATGTAATTTAGCTCTCGCACACAATATACTTGCTTCCACGCTGAAACTGCTTCTCATGAAGTAACTCGCTTGTTAATAGTGTTATCGAGTTTTCACTCGTGCGATTCAATGTGAAGATTAGTTTTCAAAGTATTTCTCCTGTTTGCCGAACAAGTTTCTGATCGATCCAAAAGTAAATTGTCCGACATGACGATATCATCCTTTCAACAATAATCACTCACCGTTAAAAGCAATTACAGTTAAAGCCCCCTTTACATCAATTTTTCTCCTTTTTCATTTCTTCAATTTTCGATAATAAATCCTCCAAATAATAATTTTTCTTCGTTTATAAATAATTAATTTTTCTTTTTAAATAATAGTTCTTTTTATTTTTAGTAACAGTCCTTCTTCTTTTTAATAACAATCCTTTTCCTTTTTAATAACAATCCTTCTCCTTTTTAACAACAATCCTTCTCCTTTTTAATAACAATCCTTTTCCTTTTTAATAACAATCCTTTTTCTTTTAAGTAATAATTCTTTTTCTTTCAAACAATAATCCTTTTTCTTTCAAACAATAATCCTTTTCCTTTCTAGTAATAATTCCTTTCCTCTCAAACAATAATCCTTCTCTTTTTAAACATTAATCCTTTTACTTTTAAGAAATAATTCTTCTCCTCTCCTCTTTTCCTCAACAATAATCCTTTTCCTTTCAAACATTAATCCTTCTCCAATCAATAGATTTCCCTTACGTTTTAAACAAATTTATGCCGAAAAATCCAAAGCACTGTTTCAAAATTTCCTGATCAGAAAGTTACTTGAAAACATGAATAACTAAAAATTATACACGCGCTGAACCTGAACCAACCGAAAATCATTTTGTTCTCAAGAATCACAATTTTCTTTTTGCTCTTGAAAATATCTTGAAAATATTTTTTTTAAAGTAATAGGGAAAATTAAATTGTTTTTTGAAAATGTTCGAATGTTTGAAGTGGGTATTTAAAAATGATTCCTTCATTCACTTTTTAGAATCGTCACGTTTTGACTGAGGAAACGTGATACGAAAAGGGTTATGTGTATATTTAGAAAGAATAAAGGATAAGAGTAGGTGGATGATCCGAACAGCGTGGTGGTCAGGTTGTTTGTGGCTGAGAAGCATGAGCTGAGCTTCAATTCCCCTCACTCTCTTTCCTCACTCTTCCTATAGAGCCTTCTCTCCTGAGGGTACTTTCTTCATCCTTGTTACTCTTCTTTCTTTTTTTTTTTTTAAAAAAGAAAACTATATGTGTGTATGCTCTTGACACTGACTTTTTCTATTTTTTTCCCCTCTTCTTTCATCCAACAATCTCTATATAGTATATAAACTCTATGCTTCCATAATCACTGCGCTTCTTCCTATTCACATAATCATTTATCTCCTATAACTTCCTCATCCTTTTCCGGAAATTCAGTTTTATATATATGAGACTAATAATTACACATAATTGGGTTCGAAAATCCAAACGCTTAATTAATTACTGAAGAATCCGACAAACAATTGGAACAAAAATTAATCCAATTCAATTACAGAGGATTGACACAAAAAATTTTTTTTCCTTACATTTCCCGGATCTACAGACAGAATTTTAATTTTTCCCTGCTCATAAAGAAAAGTTTGATTCACTCTAGAAATTATTTGATAAGTTAAAAAAAAAGGTTGGGATAAATTTATTTCAGAATATCTTTAATTGTAAAATTATTCGAAACCTTTTCTTTGTTTCAAATAAATTTTATTTGATTAAATAGTGTTGCTACAAAAATTTAATTTTGTATTTCCCTGACTTCCAAACAAAATTTTGTCTTTTTCCCTGACCCTAAAGAATATTACGAATTTATGAATTTCTCTAATTGTAAAAGTAATTCGAAAAGAGCAATAACTTCTTTTTTAAATAAATATTTAATCATTATGATTTTTCCATAGGAATTCAGATTTTCAAAAATTTCACATTTAAACCTTTTAAAATTCATGTTTTATAATAATTAAAGAGGATCGAGTGATAAAATCATTATTTTATATTTATATTATAAAAAAATATTATTACTGTAACTTCTTCAAAAGTACTTTCATCAATTCAATTATTATTTTTTAGAATTTTTAACTTAAATTTTTCTTTAAATCAATTATTTTTAATAGTTTTCAAATCCATTTGTTTACAATTCAATTTTACACGAAATTTCGTTTATTCGAAAATTCTTCAATTAATTGTATATTAGAAAATAAAAGCATGAAATAATTTTTTTAAAAAATTCAGTTAAAGTTTTTTAAAAAAATTAATTCTGCTGAATTGTTAGTTAAAAGTATGGAAAATTCAAATTTTCAAAGATTTTAATTTAAAACCTTTTCAAAATTAAATTATTTCTAAACATTTACGCTGTAATGGTAATAATGTTCAATTATTATCTAAAATTTTAACTGAAATCCATTTTTTAATCAATATTTATTAGAAAATTCTACGAAAATTCAATTATTTATTTCTCTATTTTACAATCAATTAAATACGAAAATAAATAATTGATTGAATAATGGAATGATTCTCAAAATTGAATTCTTATAAAGAATTTTATCAATAAATTTTTAAATCATTAAATTCTTTCGACGAATTTTAATAAAATTTTTTGAATAATTACATTTTTTCGAGGAATTTGATTAAAATTGAATTAAAAATAATTGAAATTCTGCTAAGAGTTTTATTATTTATGAAAAGAATTGAATTCCTAAATAAAATGTTATTATTTATGAAAATAATTGAATTCATTGTAAATAATTGAATTCCTATGACATTTTTATTATTTTTGAAAAAAATTTAATGTTTTCGTAGAATTTTATCAAAATTTGTTTTAAATAATTGAATTCTTTTCAAAAATTTTATTAAAATAGTAGATATTGAAAATCATTAAATTGAGAAAAATTTTTGAAAATAATTGCAATTTTGCCAATAAATTTATTAAATTTTTTGAAAATAATTGAATTTCGGAGAAGAATTTTAATATTTTTATAGAGATAATTGAAATTTTAACGAGAACTTTTTTAAACTTTTAAATATAATTGAATTTTTGCAATCATTTCTAACTTCTCCAAAATGCAAACTTTTTATTGTTTTTAACTAAAATTCTTCTATAAATCCATTATTTTTCATAATAAATGAGAGCAAACAAAAAAAACACAAAATTACGAATTTGCTTCAAACTCTTTGAAATTAGTTAATCTACAAAAATTGCCAATGTAACTTATTAAGAATTATTTTCAAAATTTTAATTCAATATTATTTTCTATAACTTTTAATCAAAATTTTTCTCTGAATAAATTATTTAAAATAATTTTTGAGAAGATTCTTTAAAAATTCAATTATTCAAGAAAAAAGGTTCTCTTAAAATTTAATATGTATTTAAAAATTCAAGTGAATTAAAAAAAATTTAAATAAAAATAACTTTTCCTAATTTTTCAATTAAAGTTGTTTAATATTCAAATTTTCTAAAACTTCAATTTGAAACTTTTTGAAATTCAATTATTTATAAAAATTGTAAATGCAACTCTATTAAAATTAAATTATTTTTTGAATTTTTAATTAAAACTATTCCCTAAATAATTTTTAAATAATAATTTTATGACTGTCTTTTAAGAATTACATAAATTATTTAAAATAAATTCAATTTCACATTGTTTAAAGTTTAACTCTATAATTTTCTTATCAATTCTAGAAATTTAATATTTTTCCAATACTTTAAATAAAATTTCCTGACTTTTTCCTGAATTTCCTGATTCCCCTTTCCTATGGCAACTCTGCATTTTTCAATTGTTCCTAAAGTTTTAAACGTTCAAATGAACGACGATATGTTTAATATTTCTTTTATTTTCAATTTTATTACAAAATATTGTTATTTTATAATTAAAAAATTGATTTTTAACTAATGAATGTTCAGTTACAATTATATTTTTCATTTTTTCAACAATTTCATTTTTTTCATTTTAGTTTAATATATTTAAAAATATTGAAATAAAAAAAAAACATTTTATTTGAACGTTCAAAATTTTAATTATTTCAAATTTTCAATTGAAGAAAAAAAAGTCTTTAAATTAATTTTGTTAGTAGGGTAAAGAATTTATTTTTAATATTTTAAACAATTTAAAGTTGCATTTGAATTAGCTAAAATTAAAAATATTTTTTATTGACAGAAAATTATAATTTTTATTCAAACACAATCTTTAATTATTTAAAATGTTCAAAATTTAATTCTTTAGTCTTCCACCAAAATGAATTTTAAATTTAATTTGTCTTTTTCTTGGGAAATACAAAATTATTATAATGAATTAATTAATAATTAATAATTAATTAATTATTAAATTATAATTACTAAATTGTAACTATTAATTATACTCCTGAGGTACCTTTCTTCGGAGAAAGTCACAAAAAATTACCAATCTAACAATGCCTGAGAATAACAAATGATGATTACTATAATTATATTGTCAACTGAAAGTTGACATTTTATATTTGTAAGCCCGTTCAAAGTTTAAATAAATAAATAAAAAAGATTTTCTTCTTTTTATGAATCAATGGAGATTTTAATTAACTATAACTAAACATGTGCGCACATAATTTATATCATACGCAAACTTGTTTTTATGTATGACAATATTCACGAGTGCAAAAGTTTAAAATCTATCATCTGTCGTTAACAAGCTGTCACTCCTTTACACAAAAAAAAATTAAAGAAAAAAAATAATGCAAATTATTTACATTTACCGTCTATGAACTAAAGTAATATAATATTTGTCACGGTGTTAAATCAAACTTTTTGGCTTTCAAAACTAAATATATTGCCTTTTGCTTCTGCACGGAACACGTGATTCGAAAGATTTATTAACGTCGTCGACGAGACAATTTTTGTTTTCTTTTATCCACGCACAATTTGTATTCATAAAACGATTCAATTTATAACTCAATTTTTAAAATTCACAATACGCTTTTTTGAATTTTTTAAGAAGTGTGTTTTTTTTGAATTACGAAAAAGTATGCTTGAAATAAAAAATTGTTTTTCAAAACGAAAAAAATTGTCGAGTACTATAAAATTATTGTTCAAGTAGGTACTTAAATAAAGAAATTGTTTTTTAAAATTAAAAAAATAAACTAGCATAAAATTATTATTCAAATATATTTATTGTTAGAATAAAGAAACAGATTTTCGAAAAATAAAGAAGATAGTATAAAAAATACTGTAAAACGGTTGTTGGTGAATAAAATGTGGGTGTTCGAAGATGAAGTGAAGATATCAACACAACTTCCATTTTTAGTTGGGTATAAGCTACT